ATTCCAGTGTTGTACAGGCCCACGGAGAACACCATGTTTGGAGCAGCGGTCCATTGTCCTCTCCCCCTCTGTGGAATCTCAGTGAACACTTTTCTCTTGCCGCTGCAGAAAGCACACTTCCGATAGGACATCATCTCGGACAAAACCAAACCTCGACGCTCCTCAGCATCTGGCGTCACAATCTGTACCCGTTGGTGATCTAGGGATAGCCTGTGCTCCCAAGTCGACTGCAGAATCGATGCTGACAAACCAATATGTCGCTCAGACACATCCTTCGGACTGATAAGCTGAGGATACATTATAGGAGTCGTTTAATAAATCTTCAGTTCGGAGTTTGAAGTAAATGGACAGCCACATCTTAGAATTAACACGTTATCAAAGGCCCATTGTGCACAGTTGTAAATCTTCTAAGAAAATTTATTTGTCACAGTAAACTTTCGGAATTAATATGTCACCAGTCACCTGTAAAATACAGAGCACCGTGTTCAATTCTAGGGAGTGTGTTTAAGCTGTGCTAAAAATTAGTTCCCCCCACCATTCAACCTGGATCCGCCAAAAAAGTGGAATAAACTCACCTCAAAATGACCCCAGATGGACCCCAAAAATAACTGGCATGTGTCAAAGGGGGAAACTTTCTCCCAATTTGATGTGGGAAGAACAGAATTGAGTACCCTCATGATGCCCAAGACGTGCACAAGAGTCGCGCTTTCCCATTGAAAACGCTAAGAAACACCATAGCCACGCCCACACCAGTGGTTTCTCAGAGGAGCAGTACTTTTCATTTTTTAAGAAACTTATGTTACAAACCAGAGGTGGCCAAACACAAACACAGAAAACATGTACAAGAATTGGCCAATATATAAAATTATTTACATTATTTTAATTAACAAAATAAACCCCATAAAACAATGAGCTTGCATTAACGTGGTTAGAAACGGTCATGCCAAGCAAAACAAAATTTATAAAGCAGTCATGCAAACCATAACCGACACCGACCGAGGCCGAGCAGCCCGCTTTAAGGCTTTAAATACAGAACAAACATTCCATGCAAACAAAAAGGTCATGCAGCTTTGGTATTGAACGAACAGCAACAAAAGACAGGTACGGGTAGAGAGAGGCGTTATGTAACACTTACTTCTGAGATAATTCTGCTTCTACTGATTGGACTCTTGTGCCAAAATGTGAAAGTTGCCTGCTATTAAAGGGTGCACCCTGGTAAATATGCTCAAGAGCCGTCCGCCGAACTCATTAATAAAAGTTATACACTCTAAATCTTCTATATTAGAGGGTCCTGAGAGCCATGGAATTGAGGAATCGAAGAAATATGGCACTGAACCTCTGGCCCGCATTCGGGGCTTCCAATTCTGAGCAATTTGGATGCAATCGGGTCCGAAAGTAGCACTTTACAGGGTGTCTCAAATAAAGGTAATCCAACTTTAAGAGGTTAAAATAGCTATATGGCATCTCACACAGCATTTTTAGGGCCACAACAATAAAACTGGAGATAAGAGCTTTCAGATGACACCTTTCTTGCCTAATTATGTTATTGCATAAGTTAATACCTATGGATTTAAATCATGGCCCCAAAACTGCACTGGTTCACTTATTGAGCCTCGTCGCATTTCACTTGACCAACTGCCACACCTTGATTATGAATAATGTCTTGCCTGGTTATGCAGTGGTTTTATTTCAAACGGCCAGGCATCTTCATTCTGGCCATCGAACAAGCTTGGTATCATGAAAGTGAACCAACAATATTTTTGCACCCTAAATTCTGGGTGATGGTGCTCAATCATTCTGGCCCTAGACAAGAAACCTTTGTGTCATTTTAACGGTCATAACCTCTACTTTAGTTTCAAACCATGATCCTTGCTGAAAGGTATATAGTATGGTCGTATTAACCTCTTAAAGTTGGATTACCTTTTTATTGAGACGCCCTGTATTGCTGTTTTACAGAGGGATGCATTTTCACTTGAAAATGGCTACTTTTCCGTGCAGTGAAATTTCCTTCATTTTAGGGGTAGTCTGTTTTGGGTGAGAATTTCTCAAAAATTCTTTGGTCAACCCACTGAAATTTGAAAGGAAAGTGAAAGCGGACATATCGAACATCGTTTTTCTGTGAAGCCTGAACACCTGTGAGAGTTGTGAGTATTTTTAAATATTTGTGAAGTATGGAGATTTATCACTGCTGTCTATGGGAATCAGGAATCTTCACCTTTGACCTAAAATTTGTATATAACTGGAGGGCGCCCTAACAGGTTACTGATGAAATATCTGGTTGATCAAAATAATTCAATCACTACATACATACCAACATTAATAAAATGTGATGTAAACTTTAGAAGATGAAACAACAGTAAAATAACAACGAAAAACCAACGTTTTGCCGCTACTCTAAGTATACAAAATATAAGAACCCACATTACTGTAGTGAAGGGGGTAAACAGTCACAAGCTGCACTGAGGAGGGTTTGGTCATTGCTAATACAACAATGAACCAGAGAGCAAGGCATCAACTTGCTTCCTGTCAACATGCGCATAAAATTGGCTCTGTGGGATAATCCATTACACTTACAGGTAGGGCCAATGCTAAATTTAAGGGAAAGGGGGAAATGTGCACAAAAGGCCTTCTAGGCCAGTAAGAATTGACAAAGACCCAGACTCTTTCAATAATAACCAAATTTTAGTGGCAAGGCATTTGCTTGGACTCAAGGTATTTCCAAAAAAATGTTAATTAATTAAAAATCAAAATGGCTACCTCTTGTGCACAAAATACAGGTAAAGGCATGTATTTCCGACACTACAGTAGGAACTTACCCAAATGAATAGTCTGACAAAACTCCCCCAAAATTTTCAGCTTGGAAGAATATCAAATGGCACCAAGAACAAACAAATAACTGTTTTCACCAAAATTATCAAGGAAAAATATCTGTTTAAGGATATCCATCTTGTAAGTTCGTAGTTAATACGGTAAAAATATACTGTTATGTTACAAGTATGTTAGGCCTTGCCACATGAAGCAATTATTACAAGCAATTCGGAAGAAACTAACATCCCTGTAGACCCTTAAGTGCTTTGGTAATAAAAAAGACATTTTCCCTCAGAATGTAGAAATAGTCGTCAGAAAATTTTACGAAACATGGAAAGTGAATAACTTGTCATCTAAAGCCTGAACTGATCGTCTGCATGTGGATTTCCTCATGCGACAATGCCCTTAAACACCACTGATGGTGGAAGTTGCGGCAGCAACAACTATCACCGAAGTACAGAATTCCATATCTGCCGTCTCCCGTCGTCCGTCGCATTTTGCTTTTTGTTGTGTCCTAATTCTGCCATTTACCAGTTCAAAACATGCCATTTTCCGTCGCGCGTCGCCCGTCGTGCGTCGCCCTTCGTGCGTCGTCTGTCGTGCGTCGCCCGTCGTGCGTCGCCCGTCGTCCGTCTATGGGTTGCATAGGACCTGCAAAAGCCGGGGTTTAACAAATGACAATGTGATGATTCCATTCACTTCTAAAGATCTTTTCCGAATAATGCAAGTACAAATCCCACCTGCAAAGCACATACTAGTCACATAATTAATTCCAATAATGCTAGACTAACCCTGCCCCTTGACAAGAAAATATCACCTCTCTGAGAATTCAACCAAGTTGTTTTGGGGGAAAAACATTTTCAGCCAAAATGTTCCGGCCAACTTATCCACAGTGTTATTCTAATATGCACACTGTAAAAAATGTGCCGACTTGTTTTCATCAAATTCTAGGAAGAAATCTGCCAACCAATACAGATATTCAATCTTGTCCTCTCAATTTCACCTTGAAATCCAGACATACTAGACGTGCTGTGGATAACAAACTGTTTATCAAATGTATTA